ACTATTGAAAAATCGCTTTTGCTTAAAGCAACCCTTAATATCGACGATAGCTCTGCCTCACAAGGACAACAGGAAGAGGAAATAATTGACAGAAATTGTGACACCCTAAAATTCGGATGGCTGTAATTATCCGATTGATCACCCATCAACCCTCAGAAAACTTGTGGATACCATGTAATTCGATACCACACCGTTATGCCCCATTTTTTGGAATCCATAAGTTACCAAAATTTGGATAGAATCTCCTTTATACGATGAGCTCTACCCAAAACACAACCTGTACAATATTAATCGCACCGGGTCTATCCATCAATTCACAATTGTATAGTATCGAATACTACTATAATCATCATCAGTACATACATTTATTTGTAAAATAATAAATGTCCCAAAAGAGTCTCATATACATGCCTTTGTAAATATCAACAAGTTTTTGTTACAAAAATAATACAAAGCTAAAAGTAAATATAAACAAGAGACTACAATGTCAAAATAAGAGCCACAGATCGGCTCTGTTGTCAATGAGGGCTCATGGCCTCGCCTTCGGTGGATGTCTGTTCAATACCTGAAAAATGTTCCCATAAAGGGTGAGCCAACGCTCAATAAGGTAACTCTTATAGAGAATACCTCTCAACCTAAATGCATATAGAATATCACATACAACAATCATTTGATGCATTCATTCAAATATGTTAATTATGATTGAATGTCATAAATCATGTCATGACATGAGATGAGACTCACGCAAACAATACCAATCCCGAGCCTCATCCTGAGCTCCCATAACACATGCAATGTCATGCGTATGTATCCGGACATTCCAAACCCCCATCATTGGTTATGTACACTCAATGACTAATTAATTCATTTTCTTGTGTCTTTGTGGAGAGGTGATTTATAGTATTACACCAATGGGATACCAACCATAAACGAATTTTCAGGACATCCCACCTGCGACTCCGTTTTCACCGTTACACTTTTCTGGAATTTCACCGCCAAAAAGTGTATAAACCAAGTAAGCGGGTTTTGCACCCGAGAGAGAATCTAGCCCTTCTTGCTGTCCTCAACACATTTATCCATTTAATTTCCCGTGCAACTCAGCCGAACCTTGGTGTGACTTTTTCAAGCCCACGATCAACCACCTATATGGTGATTAATTTCATACTATGCATACACTCTCACCCATGTCAATACCCATGAATGTAGTACAACTCATGCATAATGCAATACAATGTCCATTACATAATGAATAAAATGAATAAAATATAATGACATTTTAACACAATCTCAAACATGTTATATAAGATAATCAACTTAATTAGCATACTTGTATTCACCTAAACATTTAATCAAACACCTAAAGAGCACATAAATTTACACAACTAACATGCTATGACTTTTAACATGACAACATATTTATTAATTATATAAACATAAGCACAAGTCCACCAAAATAATCATATGTTAAATAATCTTTTAACATATATATTATTTCATAATCACATAATAAGCTAATAATTTTATTAAACTTGATATGCCATTAAAACATAAAATAATACTAATATACAATTAACATGCTTTAAACCACTAACATTAACTTACACCAAGTTAATTGTAATAGGATTTTATTAATCACAAGGTTAATTATAAATCTTATATTTGACCCACTAGTTACAATAGTCAAGACCTAACATGTGATATACACTCATAGCTTATCCATTCCATATGTCATATTTTAAGTTGAAATTAAATCTAAATAGGAAAAACCCTACCTCTCGTAACGTGAGCCCACTTACTAGAACTCTAAAGAAACCCAAATTTAACTTCCTAAGCCTTAGGCCTAGATTATCAGCTTTAATATTCTTTCAGAAAAAAATACAATATTTGGTGTAATTGCGTACCTCTCGCTGAGTAGAGCAACTTTAATTCTTGGTCTGAAGCGATTTAAAGGTCCAATCTTTATAGATTTGAAGAAGAAGAAAGGAATAAAATAAAGAAAAAAAACAAAAACTCTTTTCTCTCTCTCACTCACTCACTCACTCTCACTCACTCACTCACTCACTCGGCACCGGCCGGAGAAAGGAAAAAGTAGAAGACTTTAGTCTTCCACACACATTTATATATATAGTATAAATTTATTTTTTTTTTAAAAAACTTTTACGTTTTTGACCCTTATACTAACAATTAATTATTATGTCACCCCTTTAATTTAGATTTTTAATAATAATAATACTAATAATTTTTAAATTTTTTTTTTTTTTTGGGTTTTACAAAAATTTTGTTGATTGCATGAAATCCAATTTGAGGAAATCCGACATGAAATAGAACTTCTTCATGTCGGAGAGTTGACCCCATCAACTCTCCAACATGAATGCAGGAAATCCGATTCCAGCAATCCATCAATATTTATACACCACCAGAGACATCAAGCAGCTGACAGGACATTCAATTATACAGACTCAATGAAGAGAGTGGTCCACGACCTTCAATGTTTTGACTCAAAAATTTCAGAGCAACTCACATCTTACAAGCGACGCCACAGTATCCTGAGTGACCATGACTACTGATAACCTGCATGTAGTATCACTGCTACACTAAATATTTTATCCGTGTTGGGTCGAGGCACATAACTTGGGTCAGAAGGCAATTGAAATCCAACTAGATACCACATTTTCAAACATTCAGATACAGTGGCGAATGGACAAAATCCATCCTCAACCCCCAAAACTTTACATCTCAATCACTTTTGAGTTGTTGCTTCACTCATTCCCCCTAAAGAACTCAAATTTTATCCACTTCTTTCATGATCCACTTTACAAACTCAAGGGTGAGTAAGGACCGACTTCGAGTAACATTGCTTACAATGAAAAATAAACGGAGCAAACCAAACACGAAAGCTTCAAAAAGATGCACAGAACAAGGATTCTTGGATCTTAGGCACCAATGGAGGTTCACTGAGAATATGGTATTATATGCGTGGAACAGGAACTATGGACACGTCCATTCAATAGCGAATTTATGTAAAGAAAAGGTCACTAGGAAATGAAAACCCTTCTTAAAGCACAAAACCTCGACAAAACCTATCAAGGACACCACAGGCACATATTAACTCCTGTGTAAAGGTTCAACAGAAGTTTAGCATCTAAAGGACTATTCATGTTCCATCTGCCCATTGAAAAACCAGATTGGCTTTTAGCTTTGCAACCATTTGACATGCTTGTTCCAAAATCTAATAGGCTTAACATCTAACATTACTGAGAGTCCATTTTTTGATGTAATCTCATGATGCTATTGCGACAAACATGGAGGAAATAATTTTTTTAGATAAAAGAAAGCTACATTCCTGCTATTTGTTGCAACTTACATAAGTGAACACTGCGTTGTTGGAATTTAAGGAAGAAAAAAGACAATAATACCTATTGAATGTACATGGTACCACCACTTAAGTAGGTGGTGCCCTTGCTTCTAATTTATAGATCACCTGCACACAAAAGACAAATGCCTCCAGAAAATGCAGCTAAGTTTGAGAACAGGGGTAAATAAAAAATTTCACCTCAAGATGTATCGCATTATATCTAATGCTCAACCTGTAATTTGATCAGAACCACTACCCTCAGCGAATTGGGGAGGGTGAGCAGCAACCATAATTCGTACATGTCCTCGAGACGATGCAGTGAAACCTGAGGAAACAAGGAACCGAGTAATATAGCACCACACATATATGCAGTTAAAATTATAACCCTCAGCCTCTCTCTAGTCTTTCTTTTTTTCCTGATTAAAAAAGAGGGGTGGGGGCAATGCAGAGTGCCCATAAACCACCCCAATAAACCCTCACTCGTGAGATCATGAGGACCCTGACCGCGCTATTGCCCTTCTCGGGAACGAACCAAGTTAGTTTAGCATAACGGTCAACTATCAATATCCAATGTGAACTCCAGGACTCAAACCTCCAACCTCAAGGTGAGAAGTTCAGTGGTACCCCACTGGACCACCTTACTCGGTGGTCCTCTCTCTAGTCTTAAATTTCATTGGTATAAGGTCATAATCCAATTTCAAAGGTGCCAACAATCACCAACACAACTTAAGGGGAAAAGAAAAATCATCAACACAAGGATGCATGTGTCATAACTATCATCAAGTAAGAATTTCAAAGAAAATAGAGTCGAGAGATGTAAGCTACATGATCTTAATATGGTCCACAAGGCACCAAATAATTACAGGACAAAATTTTTTTAAGAAAAAAGTAGTACCAGTATGGTCGCTAATATTGGTTCTGCCATATTGCAGCATATGAGGACCTGGCATCACATAACCTTGAATGTTTGTATTCCCAAGGCTGCCGGGAGAAGGACGTCTCATTCGATATGATGATATATTCGAGTTAGCTGCGCCTGGTACACCATATATCTGAAGGTAATGCTGACCCAAATGAGAATTGTAGACACCCTGGGGAAAATTAGATAGGACTCATCACACCTTCCACACATATTACTAAAATCGAGTACTTCAGTCCATTGTAATTTATAAATTTCAAATAGCATCTGACAATTGACAGTTGGACTTACTGACCTGTGGATAGACATATTCGGCTCCATATGCCGGATACCTGCCATAAACGGAATGGAAAAAAGATTGAATCTCTTGATGTCAAAGAGGCTACAAATTCTACTAGATTCTGCTGGCAAATGCATGTTGATTTCACACAATCATAAATTTCGATATGTGGGTTAGACCAAGGCTATCAGCCATACACATGACAGATGTTCGATAGTAATGTAGCAAACTAAGTAAGCCATATCTTATAGTGCAAGTTGCCAAAGTATCCTGATGGATTTCATGTTTTTGACCAAAGTCAACATATGACTTCATTTTAAATAACAATCACTCATCAAGTTAGTACTTATTTTTACTAAGTATGGTGTTATGTGCTACGCATCTATATAGAAGATTAGCTTTGCAGAGCTTGATAGACTATTAAGCTTTGTGGCTAGAAATATACAGCCCAATATAGATGATTTTTTATCATCACAAAGATGTTATTAACAATCAATCTTATGTCTATGAAGACAGTTGCACACTTCATATCCGAGATCAGCCAAGGATAGCTTAACATGAGGAAACCTCTAAATATCTTGCTATATCCAATTCCAAAGACATGGCCTTGCACTTCAATTACACTCTTTAAAAAAAAAAGAGTTACTCATGAAGTATTTCACAGCTAATTTTTTTAAAACACGACCAAAAAAATATTCTACTTTAGAAATTAACACAAATTTTACTTAACCAATTAAGTGCCACCATTCAAAAACTATAATGGTCTTTTCATTTCCAGGTGCAACAGGTTTATACTTTGTAAGTGATGGAGACGAGTATACCAATTCAAGATAATGAGGTGCCTGAGCCACACTTAGCACCTGGAAAAGGCCAATAGAAAAACATTGAATCAGATGATTCTTTACAAAAGGGGAATTTGAATGTTTTACTATTGACTCGAGACTGAAAGATCCAGAATATGCACTCTACAACACAGTTGCTGAGCAGGGGCTAACAAATAACAACCCAATATCTGGAAGAATTATAGCGCACCCATACAGAAGATAAGGCAATCCAGGTTGATAGCTGTACGAAACTGGTTGGTGGTAAGAGGGGCTTCCGATGTACGGCAATCTAGGGGTCTGAGCACTCCCACTATAAGGCACTGCTGACCTCAGGCGTCCTATGATAACCAAAAACAAATGAAGAAATGTGTATGACAGAGAGAATGGACATTAAATTCTTGTTTCCTTTCTTGCTAAATAGAATCTATTGAAATTAATGCAAGAAGTGTTTGTGCCTAGTTAAGTGTTCGATGAATGTGTGTCAGGTTCAAATCTCAGTTTCACATACTTAAGTTGAAAAATAATGAGACTCAAGGTTGCCTTGTACTCGATAAGGTTTGTACCTATCCCTAAAAGCTAGATAAAAAAATAAAAATAATTTATTCCTTAAAATAGAGTTAAACTTAAAATATGTTAGCTTCAATTGCCAAGGAGGAAAATCAGAATATTTGAGGGAGTGGAGTGGGTAAAACAGTGTTCATTATGGATTTGATCCGAAGTATCACCAAAATTCACGGCATACTACTATAACACTAAGCTTATAAGCTTGGTCTTTCATCATTATTGAGAAGCAAAACCATCTCTGATATTTCCTGAAGCTGTGAGTATAATTGCAAGCGCAGATAACACTTGTAAATCATCAGATGTACATAAAGGTTCAAGAATTACTTGAGGATAAAGTACTATAGGCACAAGAACATCAACTACATCATTAATCTTCTTTCCTTTTGTCACTCACTCTCTCTCTCTCTCTCTCCCCACAAGGGTTTGAGACTCTTGGTTGGAACGGGATAACTTTTTATCTTCCCTACTTTGTTAGAGGGCAACACCAAATTGGAGCGCACCTAAGCCCATTCCATCTTTACCACAGAGGCCAGGCTTGGACTTAATGCCAGGGGATCAACCTAACTTTTAAGTAATCCAAGCCACTCCTGAGTGATTTACTGTTCTATCTATGTACATACCTGTTGGTGTATATTGGTGTTCATAAACCACAGATTACTGTAGAAAAGAAGACCTCAGACTTAACACAAAAAAGGTAAAATAATAACAGTGTGAAATCAAATCTGAAACTGAAGGATGATACCATAAGGCAAAAATGGTTGAGATCGCCCAAGAGAAGCCAAATTGCAATTTGTCCTCCTTCCGTCAATAACAGGATTTGGATCTGCACAAGCCCTCTTTGCAGCTTCAGGATCACGAAATGTCACCTGAACTCAAGACAGATACACCCAATGCATACTGAATCTTGTATGAAGTAATCGATGAGAAATTGAATAGACTAATAAAAAAGTATTTCAATTGAAAAGAAAGGGAGAAACCGAATTGACAATGGGGGGAAAACACAAAATCCTTAAAATAACAAGCCTACAAATTATGTCATCCAAGCACCAAAAGACCCAAAAAATTGTTTCTTTTTCAGAGACTCAACACCCATTGTTAGAACCATTTTGTCATTTTGGTTGAAAAATGCGAGATTCAAAGCCGGAAGGAGTGATGCAATCCCTAAGGTTAAGAATCTAACATTCCAATAGACATGCTCTGATGCTCATACATTCTTTTCTGCTTCTAGAATCCTCAGACTTTTCTCTTTCAAGTAAACCAAACAAAATTATATCTTGAATACCTTTCTCCACATAGTACATACATTACGTCTTGAAGTCATTTATTCTTGAATATCATAAATATCATGGCAAGCACTGAAAATTTTCACTGTAGTTCACAGGTACACGTGCAATCAACAATCACTATCGTTAGATCTGCAATATGGTACACTTTCCAAACCAGAGAGTCTCCTAAGAATTATATTTGTATCACAATATGCATAAACCAACAAGCTAATACACATCAAGTTTTACAGTAACAGGGCATACTACATATTGCACAATGAAAACCATAAGCAAATGAGAAACAGATACACACGTGAAAGTGTCTACCTATTAAATGTAGTTCCAGTTACACAATCTACTAAAGCTACCTAAGCACAACCCCATCATGCCATGCTCCATGTAAGCAGCCTATTATATACAAATTCCCCTTTTATATACAAAAGATATGTTCTACATCTGACCACACACCACATATTAAGTATTTCTCGTAGCTAGGGGTGCAACTCGGGTGGGTTGGGAGGGTTAAAAGGTTAACCTTAACCTAATTTTTGGTATATAATTTTCAACCCTAACCCTACATCAATCCAAATTAGTCAACCCAATTATTGTCCGAGTTTAAATCGGGTGGCCTCGGGTTGAATTCGGGTTACTTAATTCGGGCTGATTTCGGGTTAAAAATCGGGTTGAAGTTAGGTTACTTAATTTGGGTTGATTTTTTAAAGTGTATAATTGATTTTTTCAAGTGTAGATCTAAGATGAAGGGAGGCTGACAGTCTAACACGACTCGAACGAGTGACAATTGAGAGTGAGATCTGAGAATTATGGATGTGTAGAGGTGAAGACTTTAAGTGAAATAAAAATCTCGACTCTAAAAATTGAAGATAAATACTACTCTTAATTAAATATATTTATATATTTATGTATTTTCGGGTTCAACTCGATTTTAATTTCGAGTTGACCCCGACAACTCGAGGTCTCAACCCGAGACTTGTCCAAATTCAATTCGGGTTGGAGTTTTGCCCAGACCCAACCCAAATATTAAAAATTCTAACCCAAACTCTTTTTTTTCGGGTTGGGTTTGGGTTAAATTCGGGTTGGCCTTCCCAAGTTACACCCCTACTCGTAGCTTGCTTGGCAGCTAAATAAGTAAAGAACATGAATATGTTTCCATGTCCAAACCATCTCTATATCCATTATTGAGCAAAATTCAATAGCATTAAAGATGGTAATAGATAGAGTGTTTGTTTTCTTAAGAACTGATATGAATTGCCAAAATGAGAATGCTGAAAAGAATGATCACCGTCTTAACACAAACATGAATGCTTATGAAAATCCACACAAACCTATATGTAGCAGCAGTGATTATAGTCCAATTGAACTGAAGCCATTTATAAACATGGTGTTTTCGTCTTTGAACTTTGAGAGAGCATCGAGAGCAACCATTGTTAAACAACTATCTCTTCCAAAAGTTTGGCCTGTTAGAGGGAGGTTGTAATTTAAATATTTATAGTTCAACACGCCACACTATATTTTGGGTCTATCATGTGGAAACTCTTTTAATAAGTAGAATGGCGGCCAAATTCGACTGCAGGACATTATACCATATTAAACAATATACAATTTTAAACAATCATCTACTAAAAAATTTAAGCGATAAGGTGTAACTTAACTATTTATACTACAATAACCATAACCACAAGAATAACTAAAAAACTAACGAAAAGAAGTACTCACAAAACCATAGCCTTTCGATCGACCGGTATGCTTATCGGTGATAACGACAGCCTCGAAAATTTCCCCAAACTGCTCAAAGTGACGACGCAATGTGTTGGTCTGCGTTTCCCATGCCAGGCCTCCCACGAACAACTTGGTATATGTGGTGTCTCCAAAAGAGTAATTCAAAAATTTCAATCCCGACCCACTACCAGAAAAAGGCTGATAAGCCATTAAACGAACCCCTCAACAAATACAAATATATGTGTTTATTCGTATAATCGTATATGATTTATGTATACCCAAATCAGAATAATGATCCCCCAGAAGCTAAATATTGCACAACCCCACTTGATATAATTCAAGTGATCCTCAGGTATAGCCAGTAAATGCCGAGTTTCAATAGAATCTTGTGAACACAAAGAACTCCTAAAGTGATCAGTTCAACAAGGCAGATATTCAACACGGGAGGAAGTGTTTTCCACTGAGAAACCCTTGAAAACCCCCAAACTATCCAAAGAGATCGAGACTTGAGAGAGAGAGAGAGATGTGACAGGGTTTTCAGAAGAGTGCAGTGCAAGAGAATGTTCCAGACAAAAAAAATACACTTTTGTAAGATTAATAATTATAAAAAAAATATAATTGATTCTAAAATATTATAATTGATTATTAAAGAGTAAATTATAATTTTAAAAAATAAAAATTGTAATTAATTGAGTTAGTTATGAACAATAATAATATTTTATGATCAAAACAGTTATATTTTCACCTAAATATAATTTAACTTTAAAAATTATAATGTAATGTACTTATATTATATTTAACTATAATATAATTCCAATTCTGTAAAATTATCTTTTTTTTAAAAACAATTATAAGGAAAATGGTAGATGAGGTTAGAACTTGTGATACAATGGTCTAATAGTGGGCTAGAGTGACTATTAAATCAATTGTTGATTCTCCAGGATATTTTATGAATAGTATATAATTCCTAGATCTAAGAAGAAAAAAAATTCAAGCATTTTACCTAGAAAATGAATTTGAGCTCGAATCTATTAGTAACGTAGTATAAAAAAAAACCCAAATATTTTATTTCTTTTATAATTAATCATAATTTTTTAAGATTAATTCTAATTTTTTTTTTTTTGCTTATAATTAGACCTTAAAAACTTATATAGTAAACCATAAAAATTATAAATTTCGATGCCGTAAGAGTCAAATCCTAATATGAAAAATGGGTTGAGAAAATAGTAAGAATAAATTTTTAAAAAAATGAGTATAAATTTTTAATTAATTCCTCAAAACTATCTCCCACCCGGTGATTTGTATTTTCCTTAATGGACGCAACACATAAGATCAGGTGGTGTTTTGCCACGTACGCGTACAAAATATGCTAAAGTGGGATAAAGACTAGGGAAGTTTCTACCGTGGCCTGCCTCACTATCTCAAGAAAGGGACTCCCACAAAAAGACATGGGGGTGGTGACATGAAAAGTCATCGTGTTCTTACAGGAGAAAATATTATGTGATCACCAGACCAGATAGTATTTTATAGTGTCGATAATATACATCATACATACATACATCTAAATTTTGTCGTAGACGAAAACTTGTGTGCACCCTGGGTCCGGCTTGTTCACTATGAGTAGATATGTATATAAGCGGATATACACCATATATATATCTTGATTTATCTCATATTGAAGTACCTTTGAAAATTTCAAAACCCAATATTTCGATCGGGTTCGGGTTGGTTGCACACTGCAGCTTGGGCACCATCACAAACCATTTGTAAGTTTAAATTTTTTGTTTGATTTCGTATTAGTTCTAATCGTCAAATATGAAATTTCAAAAATGGGGATCAAAGTATCTTCCGGTAAAATATAAGAAATAATGAATACTCGTCTTTTTCTTTTTTTTTTAAATGGAGATCCAAGCATCACCCAAGTTCCAGCAACACATACACCAAAATAGACATCCTGTTTGTAGATTAGTTAAAAATTTCATTTAAGCTTTGTTCGTTTTTTTTTTCTATTGTAGTCTACACTCCACATTGAAAATAGACACCCTGATTTGAAGATTAGTTAAAAATTTTCGTTCAAGGTTTTTTTTTTTTTTCGTTTTTTCTATTGAATTCTACAATCTACATTGAAAATAGACATCTCGATTTGTGGATTTGTTAAAAATTGAATAATGTGCATCAATGTTTTGTACATCAATGTTTTTTGTGTAGAATATATAATGGTTATATTTTGTTCTTAATATGATGGTGATATTGTATTAATAGTTTTCGTAACTCTTTTAGCGTTGTAGGAGGATCTATTTATAATGGAGATAGAATGTGTTAAGATTGATATAACAAATAATACTTTGCGTATTGACATGCAATTTGACACAGAAGAAAATGCTTATAAATCTATAAAAATTATGGAGGTTCTCTGAGATATAGTATGAGAAAATATTATCACAACAAAAAATTGAAAGATGGTTTGGTAATGTATAGAAATATGTTTGTTATAAACAAGGATAAAGAAGTCAGGCTATGAAGCACGGATATGGATATGGGATACAATACGATACGGATACAGTAATACGACAAAATCTAAAAAAGTCGGATACGGGTATGATCAAGATATAACTATAATAAAATATATTTAATATTTTGATTATTTTCAATCAGCTTAATATTTATACATTTTGGTAGTTCTTTAACACAATAAGAAAAATTAATAATTCTTTTTAATTTCAAAAAAATATATATCATATCACTATGGTATATTCATAAAGTGAAGTGATTCATTAAAAAATCAAAACTAATATTTACCGAGTCGGTTTATTTAGAAATAATTTTTGCTAAGACTATAATGTAATAGATTTATTTTATACTCTCTTGACTTATAATTATAGATAATACTTAAAAAATACTCATTTGCTTTTGAAGTAGTACAAATTTTTATTAATGTATTGTATGGTATGTGAATTCGAAAGAAAATGTTAAAAATTCAACTCAAAAATTATATATGTTGTTTTAACACAAAAATATCTGAATATTTAATTATTATCGGATACATTGTAGGTGTATCTAATACGTATTCTCTAGTATCGTATCCGTGCTTCATAGAAGTCAAGTAGAGATTTGAACGAATTGTCTAGCTCACATATGCATATCTCTTAAGAGAGATACGAGAAAATTTGTTGTGGGGAAATAGTAGGACAAACACAATCACCCTTTGCAATTTGGTGAATGTATGCACATGATGCTATCCCAACGAAAGGTTTCTAGAACCTATGACAACAATGTTGATATGACGAAGGATTGAAGGATCTCATTCAAGACATCGTATGAACTCTTGAGTACGTTAGCGGGTGGGAGGGAAAACTTAGGCTTTACCCGTCAAGATAAAAAAAATTACATTTAACAAAGGAGACAATGATACTGGAGATATGGTGAAGCTAAGTAGTTTGTTAAAATATTTCTAGACAAAAGAAGCAAAAAATTCATCATTCTATTATGGTGTGCTTGGATGTTGAGGAACATATCACAAATATTTTTTAGGCTAATTCAAGAATGATTATTTATTATGGTCATTTTGGGGATGTTGTTACATTTGACACAACGTCGTGAACAAACAAAGATTATCGACCCTTTGGAATTTTTATTGGCTTCAACTAATTTGGGGAGACAATTATATTTGGTGCTGCATTGCTATATGGTGAAACGACAACATCATTTAAGTGGTTATTTGAGACATTTCTACATGCTGGAAAGATGTTTGTTACCATATTTATAGATCAAGATCAAACAATGACTAAGACTTTATCCCAAGTGATATCAAAGACCTTTCGTGGGTTATGTACATATCAATCAAACTTTGTTACACTATTCAAAAACTGCATAAATGGGTATGATGAAGAACATGATGATTCGCATTTTTTAGTGATCTGAATTATAATATATTATACACCAAAGTATAAGTGGTTAAATTATAATTTTCTCAATTTCAGTCCAAGTATCAATCCCACAAAGAGTTTAGTAATTTAGTAGTTAAAAATAAAAAATAGTAAAGTTATTGTTGAGGTTGTATGATGTTTGATAGCTTTTGATGTGAGCTTAGCTTGACAGCTAGTTTAACTTAAATAAAGTGCATAAATAAACAAATAAAATGCGTAAGTAAATAAATCAAGTACGTAAGTAAATAAATTAAGTGCGTAAGTAAATATGTTAACAACAAGAATATAAAAGATACCCTTCAGTTTAAGGGTCCCATATGCATTATATTGGTTAGATACTGGAAATGCTACCGTACCAAGATTAACTTTCATTTTATTGGCAAGTCAACCAGTTGGTCTGATGTATATAAACCATAGCACAACCGCTTCTTAGGCTAACTGAGGGTAATAAATCATAACACAGCCGCTTCTTAGGCTAACTGGTTATATCCACGTCAATTGATTAACCCAAGCAAACTAGTTTAAAACACAAACAAATTTAAAACACATAAATATGTTCAAAATATAAAATAATTTAAAGTTCAAGTGCATAAAGTAAAAGTGCATAATGTAAAAGATGAGTGAAAGAAAATAAATTGTTTTGTAGAATCTCCAGTATGTTTAGGAAGTAAAAGATCCTTCTTCGCAACGATCTCGAAGTAGCTTCAAAATCTCAGTTTGGTTTTGTTCATATTCATCTATGCGTTGGTTGATTTGAGGAATATTGTTCTCCATCTCTAGTAAGATGCATCTATCAGTTTTGTCATCCATTGGGATGTATGGTTGACTCTTTTGTGATATGAATTCTTTAGGTACCCAAAATGGTTCCTCTTCTTGTGGTAAAGGTATTCCTTGTTAGTTTTTCAGTTGTCCTCCATGACTCTTTTTTAATGAAGTTTTATCCAATACTCTGGGATGATTCACTGTCGTCTATATTGGATTAATGATCATGCCCTCATTCCTGTATAGCTGAGAAACTAACATAGCATATGGGAGTGTGAGTTTCTTTCTATCCATAGCGAGTATCATTTGGTCTATGATTAAATTCGACAGGTCAATTGTGTGTCCCATCCCAAATGCATATAAGAAATACGCCTGCTCAATAAAAATTTGATTCTTTTGGGCTCGAGATAACAAGCTATGCATTGTTATCATATTTAGAATTCGGTATTTGTCTGTTAGATCTCCTTGTTTAATGTAATTATTTGGGCAGCCCCAAACAAATTGTGAATTTCATGTTAATTCTTTTTCTACCTCATGTAAATCAGATAATTCAGTGTACGGATATTGTGGATTGGGTGGTCTTTGCATGGGTTTAAAGAAATCGGTCATAGTAGCCAGTGTAACTTGAAAAACTATTCCTCGAGCAAATACACACAATTTTCTTTTCTCTTTAATTTCAGCATTACTGTAAAATTCCCGAACTAAGCAGTCATAAGCAGGAACTGATAATCTAACATAATGTAGCCATCCTCTTGCATGGAGAATTTGTCTTATTCCTATGTTTTCAAAATCTTCGTATATTACTGTTCTTGCAGAAATAATAGTTTTAGTCAGAAAGTTAATATCATACC